ATACCCTCTTGCTTTCCAGGCTGGAGGAACACCTTGGTTACTCCAAATCACAGTAAAGAAAGAGTTGCAACGCCCTAGTAATTACCTTCAGACTGTGGTGCAACAGACGAGCAAAGGCTTATCTCAAAAGATATTTGACCTTCTGGTAATATATTCTGTTAGAGGCCTGCATCCCTCCTAGGTGTTTCCCAGATTTCAGCAGACAGGAGTCTGACCCAAATCCATCAGCAGTGTGAAGTGCATACAGTCCTCAAGTTTTATCAGTGAGCTGAGAACTCCACTGGTGTCTGTGTCACCAAGAATATCCTTGAGCTCAGGGCCATCTAGGGAGCAGGTCCTTTACCACAGCCAGGAAAACATGCACCAGTGAGCTTGATGAATTCAAATGACAGCATCTAAAAATGAGGAAAACTATTTGGGCAACCAAGCAAGGAGACAGGCCTTTAACCTGGGCACTGAGTTCAAGATGTCATAGAAAAGCAGGCAGATTAGACATTATGCAACTAGAAAACACTAATAAATGGTCATCCTCAACCCAATGTTTCAGTGTGCTTTTACCTAAAATTTTAATACAAAGAAACATGTAAAAAGTAAGAAGAGTAATATTTGCCAAACTAAAGGGGATTTGCCCATGAAACAAAGTCTCAAGGCCATGTTTTGCTGTCTCCATACCCCTCCAAAAACATGACACTAAGGTGCACAGGGACCTGCACTTCCCACTGGGATAAAGAGTTCCTGCCTTTCCTTTTCAGAAATCACAAAACTAACACTGTGATGCCTCTGAGTGTGAGCAGGAAGAGCCTCAGTGTCAGCACTAAGTTGCTGTATCTTTTCTTTTACCCTGTTGTGACCTCTAAGCAACACCCATCTCTTCCTCAGAGCAGGACATCTTCCTTGGACAGGAGACCTGGGAAGGGCCTGGCTGGGATGGCAGAGCATCTGCTGAGAGCTAAAGAGCCAAAGCTGAATAGCTGGAGCCCAAAAACCCGCTGGCTTACTGAGAAAACATGCTCCAAAATTTATGGCTGAATACTTTCAACCGCCAAAACCTCCTCCACCTGCTCCACAGATCCAGCAGTCAGCCACAAGGAAACACTTCTTTTGATCCTACTCCCAATGAGTCCCTTATTCCTTATTAATAAAAGCCAATTTAAATCATAATTAAAAGCTTGTTTGAGGGAACCTTCAGCCACTGCTCAGGATCAAAATATCAATCTATGAAAGAGATACCCTGCAGCAGAGCTATGATACCCACAGCTGCATCACATCCCATTTCTCTCTTCCTCTGCCACATCCTCACCTACTGCAGCAGTTTTCTTGCAGCTAATGATGAGACGACTTCATTTCTGGAAAAGCCTGATTTTCCCAGGAATGTGCCCCCCACCCCAACCTTCCCAAATGCAGGCAATTGCTGGAAGAAAAGCGCCAGCAGCTTCCAGATATCCTCAGTAACCTCAGCCAGGTTCCTAGCAAGGACCTCCATCTGTTCAGATACTCCATGCCACCATTGGTCCCTCTCTTTGTCCACTCCCAGGGCAGGCCAGGGCAGTGTGACAGGTTAGAGTGTCACACATCATGAGCCAGAGCTGTTCCCAAAGCCACCTTCATCATGAGTTTATACAATGTCTTCCTCAGACTCATCTCTAGATCCCCATTGCCTCAGGGAATGTTGTCCTTGGCACCACACTTTGTACACAAAGCACAGGCTCTGGGACAGCCAGGACCAGAGGGGATGGTGGCAGTCAGGAGGGCAAGGGCCAGCATGCAGCAAACCATCTGCAGCCACCCACCAGCCAGAGATCCACCACCGGGATAAAGAGCAGAGACAAGCCACAACTTGCTGAATTCCTGCAGGCCAGTGGGAGCTGTCAGTGCATGCTCTGGGGCCAGCTGCCTCCTCAGCTCTCATTTCCCATCTCCAGGCTAAGCCCTGTTATCCCAGCACTGGCTAATGGCCATTAAACCTAGTCCCAGAAGGGGCATTTCTCACCTGGTCTTCACATGGTCAGTGAGTAATGAGCACAAAGCAGCCAGGCAGACCCCAAGTCAACCCAGGACAGCAGAAAGCAGCAGTGAAACTGAGCAAAAAGCAACTCATGTAAGGATCTGGACTTAAATGCAGCTGGGGAACAAACAGGATGGAAGGGGTGTGGGAGGAGGACACAGATGAGGCTGGTCAGGCTAATTAGGACCAGTTAGTGCAGGCAGGACCCTGATCCCTTTTGCAAGGGGAGGATGTGGGAGTGATGCTATGGGAACTGCTTGGGAAAGTCAGGATAAACCAGCACTTCCTCCATCCTTGGCACAGCACCATTTTCTCAGTACTAGCAGAGCTGGTCTGAAGGTTTTGCCAGGGTTGTTCAGATCCTGTCCCAGCCTCAGGAACCTGTTTTAGGTGCTCTGAGACCTCGGTTTCTGTTGGGTCTGTCTACGTTCCAGGGATGGATCAGAGCAAGAGTTTGTGACCAAACCTGGGGAACTAACAGCTCCCTGCCACAAAACGCTCTGCAATCCCATAGCTGAAATGTCACTTCATTTCCTTTGCTTTAGACGAAAAACAAAACCCAAAACCAAAGAACCACCCACACTTCCTCTGCAAGAATTAATCTGCCAGAGGATTTGCTAATCTGGATCTCTGGAACAAATTCAACTGGTCTTTCTCAACTGTGATTTGCAAGTTCTGAGGCGTTTACACTTTGGTATCCAGCCACAAAGAATCACAGAACCATTTCCAGCCAAAGGCTGGAAAGTACCTTTAAGATTATTGAGTCCAGCCGTTAACCCAACACTGCCAAGGCCACCGCTAAACTCAGTTTTTAAGTCCCAAAGCTGCTGCTGAGGCTCCTGAGCATGGGGCTGGTTTACAAGCTGTAACATGCTGGTAAGGACAGGGAGAGCAGGGAACTCGCAGCCACCTCCACGGTGGCTGTCCCCTGAGAGCTGCAACCAACTGCTGACAAGTGACATCCAGCAGAGACAAGCCTGTAGCACTGGGCCAGACTGCACCACTCGGGCTGATGCTTTAATCAGAGCTAAATCTGGATTCGCTGCTGTCACCTCACTGGATGACCTTGGAAAAGTCAGCTGGGATATAATATAAGCTAAATGGGAGAGGATGGCAAAGGAAACCATGGTCTCAGGATGAAAAGGTACTTAAAACGTCACTTATAAAGGTATTTACCAAGACAAGTGCGTGGCTTTCCTACCCTCCTACCCTGAGTGACCCCAAAAAGCAGTTTACCACCCCACTCAGTTTACAGTAAACATCTTGCTTCTGTACATGCAGCTTATTTCACACATTCATAAAATATGTGTCCAGCTCATGCCAGGGCTGAGCAGGATGGCAGAAAGGTGCAGGGAACCTTCTTCTCCATTCCTATTCCTGTTCTCAAGCTGCAGGCATTGTCCAGTCTCTGAACACCCCTCCAAGCCCCACTGGTTTGGGCAGTATCTCTGTGTCCCCCCAGCCACACTCCTGACTTTCCTGCTGGACCCTATGGCTGGGTCTCCCTCCTCAGTGACTCCAGAGAAGAAGTGGATTGCTCCTCTCCCTGCAGAGGTGCCCCAGCTACAAGCTCTTACTGAAGACTATAAATATCATTATTTGCATAACATAAACCTGAATTTGTGAAATATAAACCTCTTCCTTTGAGGTAAGCTACATAAATGCTGCAGGTTGTTGTGTCTCTTGGCATGAAGGGCTCCCTGTTCTTGCAGGGAGCAGCCAGGAACCCTCATGCCTGCAGCTGTTTGTCCCCCATCAAGAGAAAGTGAGGCACAGAAGAAGAAGGGTGAGTCACTGTGTGAGCACTCCTGGTCTGCTGCCATAAACAACAGCTAGGGAAATCCAAGCTTTGGATGTTGATGTCTTGGGGAATCACTGGAAGAAGAAACAACATTCAGACATGAATAGGAGAGGATTAGCTTATCAGGGCAGACAGTGACTGCCAGAGAGTGACTGGAGAGAAAGACTGAAACAGGCAGTTGTTCCCTGTGTCCCATGCAGGGCACTCATGTGTCCTCAGGTGCTCCACAGGCTGGTAGAGAGAAGCACCTTTGCACTCTTCACCAACAAAAGCACACTGTTTGCAGTAGGCACCCAGGTGTGGCTATTGCTGTGAACTCCGATCCTATTCCCAATCCCACTAATATGGAAAGAAAATCTGCGTGTGAAAATCTGCCCGTGTTTCGCAGGTGCTCCAGTGCTGTCACGTTCACTGCTCAACACCAGGAGCACGTTGCCTGAGAGCATCAAGCCCATAGGAGCAGAACAACACACACCAGCCCTCCACTTTCACACTGTCCATCCTATCTGGGTACCTTGGAAGGGTTAATCCGAGGGTTTGCGGCGCCGCTGTTGCTCGGTGTGGCACAGCCGGCTAAGCCAGAGCTGGAAAAAACTTGTTCCTTTACCTTTGTAAAGGAGGCAGCGAGGAGGCAGTGAGGAGGTCGTGTAGCACCTGCAGCACATCCCCAGGGTCCTTGCAGCGACTGTGCAGGTCGGGCTGCCCAGGAGAAAAGGTGTCCTGCAGCCTGGGGCAGAAGGTGGACGAAAGCCATGGGGTCTGCAGCCCCACTGGAGAGTCCTCCCCTGTAAGCAGGCACCCAGGGAGATGTGAGGAGAGCCAGGAATCTGCTGGATAAACTCAAAAGTTGGACAGGGCAGCTGGGAACAGAGAAGAGCTGTGCTTCTGCCTTGTTTTGCAGGTTTGCTGTTGCCGGGGAGAGGTTTTAGGCTGTTATCCAGCTAATTCACACCACAGAGACAAGCACTTGAATTAGTTGCATTATCTGCGCCCAGCTAAATTGGACAAAGGATTAAAGTGTGCTGAGCACCACCACCGTGATTTGCATCTCAGAGCCCCTTCCCACGGGCCCCCTCTGCTCCCAGCCTTTTTTTATTTCGTTTTCTGGCTGTCAGCCAGCCAGCATAAGAGCCCTGTTTACAGAAATGATGCCTAGGTTAATATTGCAAAAGACTTCATCAAAGCCTGTAGTCGCTACTGAAGCAGAAGGGTCTGACCGTGGGCCATGAGCTGACCGGGCTGCGCACACAGGGGATGAGCCGCAGCCACGCGGCACCGCCTTTCCTTTGACAAATTCTGGTCTCAGCCTGAGGTACGAAACTAACTTTCTGCCACCATGGCATATTTGAAATAATGAGCAAAATCAAACTATTATTCATCTTTAAAGCTGGACACAAAACCTCAATGCAGCTGTTGTTTTAGGGAAAAAACACTATTTGAGTGCTAAGTAAATATTGCACTGTGCAGTGACCTTATGGGCTCTTTTTCTGAGCTCATCCAGCTGCCAGAGATTATTATTTTATGCATGTTTATTCATGTGGAGAGGATGCAGAATGCTATTGCTATATGTTTCTGTCAGTCTCAGAGAATCCAGACTGGGATCTCTCAGAAGCAGCTCCAGATCTAGATAGGTAAAGCAAAAGCCTATCTGCCAGCAGTGGATTCTAATTAATTCATGGCTTTTAAAATGTTTTTTCACCACCAGTACTTTGTACGTAGGTGTAGTTTTCTTGAAAGGTTCACACTGAGCTCTGCTGTGACACATAACCTTTATAGGTTTCTATTTTACTTGGCATTTGCAGTTTTTCCTCCTCGGCATGGGGACTGAGTGACCTTAGCAATTGCCAGCAAGGGGACTCCATATGATGAAAGCAGGTGAAAGGGAAAATAAGGGCGGAACTAGGTAAAGCCAATTCATACCTCAGAGGAGGTGTGGTCCTGTCCTCTACCTAGCTGTGGTCACAGTCTTGTGAAATATAAAAGGAGAAGGCAGTGGTTTCTTAAACAATCTGGTGCCAGGATCCTGTAGTGAGAAGGAAGGTTGGTGCTGGAAGAAATGCAGAGCAAGAAGTCAAGAGTGTCAGCTGGGAAAGGTGTGGGACTCACCGGTGCTCTGAGCCTCAGGAACACCATCAGCTCTTCCCTGAAGGCCTGTTTGTTGGGCTGAGGGTTGCATGGTAGCTGCACTCCCTTCCCCAGCAGGCTGGCTTAGAGGAGAACAGAGCTATCATGTCCCAAGGAGAAGCAGCAGGACGTGGCACTGCCAAGCCCCAGGACCAGGGATGGGCATGGATGGTCCTGCTGGCTGCAGTGGTGCTGCAGGGGCTGACGCTGGGCTTCCCCTGCTGCATTGGTGTCTTCTTCACGGACCTCCAGCATGAGTTCCAGGCCAGCAAAAGCGAGACATCATGGTTCCCATCCATCATGGTGGCCGTGCTGCACGGAGGAGGTGAGTGATGGCAGGTAATGGTCTCCTCCACAACCTGTCTTGTGCTGTTGGTGGGAGGATGTAATGAAGATACTTTCAGCATTTCGTTAAGGCAGGTGGTGGGAGGGACTGGCTGTTTGGCAGGACACAGCATTTCCAAGCCACTTGGATCCCACAGTCCAAAGCTAAATGCCCACAGATTCCATGCTCCCTTTTGTCACTCTCAGAGTCAGCCAAGACCCTTGGTCAAAGAAGGCAAATCCCTTTCTCAGCCCAGTTTTTCCCAATCAGCAAGACCATAGTTATATCTCACAGAAGCTCTTTTAATAAGACAGCACATAGTGCTGGTGCTCTGGTGCTTCCTTGGTTCATCTTGTCCATGAGAGCACATCTCCTTCCAAGTGCCACATGACAGCTCTGTTCTTTGTGGCTGAAGAGATGCCAAAAGCTGAGCTCCTCAGTGCTGCCAGCTGAGGCAAAGCCTTAAAAGCAGCTCCTTGGGCAGTGGCATGCACACACACCTACACAGGCATCAGGGTGGATGTGAGCAGGGCTGGATCCGTGCAGAATGTGGGTCAGGCAGCACCCTCCGGCTGCAGAGGTGGAAGGAACGTTGTGCTCTGTGGATAGTGGAGTGAATCACTGGTTTTCCCCTCAAAAAAAATATGGGAGCAGCACAGGGCACTGATCCCAGATTCCACACATAGATGTGGGGACTCTTTTCTCTTTCTGCAGAGAGAAAACCAAATCTTCAGCAGTTCAAGGACTTCCCAATGAGTGGTCTGTGCTTTGTGACCCATACAAATCCTGTGCTTATTTGATAAACAGATAACCCAAACCCTACCAGGCAACAGAAGGAAAGGTCCCAGTGTTGCCCATGTATCCAAACTTCTCCTTGAGTTCATTCCTGCTCCCTTCCAATGCTAGTGAAAGTTGATACTACATTATAAAGCAAAAAAACCAACCCCAGAGCCCTGATTCACACTGATGCAAAGGCTCAGTCTGTACCGTGCAGGATATGGTTGGCAGCCGCCTGCACGGAATTGAGAGTTTGCACCTTAGCAGAAACAGCTGGGTCCAGAATATCAAGATGCAGATGGAAAGAGATGTCAAGGGAAGTGACAGGGGGAGAAATCACCACTGAGAGACAGCAGAAATAAAGCAGTATCCTCGGGGCTTGGAATTTGGAAGCTGTTGGGCATTCCCAGTCCTGCTTTCCAGCCCCTGTGATCCTTCTGTGATTAGTGGAAAGGATCCAACTGGGACCTGCTGGCTCTGGGATACAGTCTCAAAGCAGCTTGGACCCAGCATGTCCAGGAAGGACAACTCTGGCAGGATCCACAAAAATGTCAATTATCCTGTCATTTTCATGAACTGATTGTTGTATAGGAGGCTAGAACCACTGTAAAAGGTAATACAAATTCAGCCAATACATAGATCCAAAAGTTATAAATTCGATAAGGAAAGAATAGCCTTGTCTTGATATTCACAATAGAATTTGTCAGGGCACAGCCAGAGAGTTGTACTTTGCCAGTTATGTCTCCTGTTGCAGGGTGTTACAGCACAGGAGGGCTTATTCTTTCCCCCAGTAGAAGAAGGCAGCAGTAAAAAAAAACAGAAGGAAAAAAACCCAAAATAAACAGAGATCAAAGCTTGCCTCTCAGGCCAAGCACATATGGCTTTTGCTGCAACTTCTGACCTCCTTTGGAGGGGGCCAGGCTTTACTTGATTCAGGTTTTCCGATTACATTTCAGCACTTAAATCTTTCCCAAAATTGCATGCTGCTGTCACCAGTATCTCTTAAAGGTGCCACTCTATTTTCTTCACCTTTATTCTTTTTAATTAAGGGGGGAAAAAATTACATGTTGCAAAAATTGGAAGGGGAAAGGAAATGGGCAGAGCAGCCTGTTCTCAGAGCAGCCAGTACTGGGAGAAGGTTCCAAGCAGGAGAGCAATGGAAGGAAATGGGGAAGGGCACAGGGCAAACATTAGCTCACAACTCAGCCAAACATACCCCATTATCGGTGCTACGTTCCTAGGTAAAAGCCATTAATGATTATTTTGTTATAAGATAATTTGAGAGACGTAGGGTCCTACATCTGTCTGCAAAAGGGGATTTTAGGCTGTTACAGGTTCCTGCTCCTAGATATCCATGCACACAGAACATTCTGCGCTAACTCATACAAATGCAGCACTCTTGTTGATATTATTCTTGCAAAAGAAAGCACAAAAGCCCCAGGCAAGTGAGAAATAACATTTGAAACCCAGACAACAAGTAACCAGGAACTAATCATGAAAAACCCTTATGGTTTTTAGAGCCAATCTCATTATTTTCTAGTGTTCAATTATACCTTCTTGGCATAAATCTAGTTAAACAGCAGTACCATCCTTAATGTCTTCAGCAGGAGGAAAAATAATCCAGTCACATTTGCTGGACACTTTTTCAAAGGCTGGTGAAGTCTGAGGTGAAAATTTCCCAAGCAGATCAAAATACAGACAGCTGCACTCCTAATTTTAATAATGTTCCACTGTTCACTTGACTGTGTGGATTTTATTTCAAACCAGATGTTGATTTAGGTCACAAATATGCCACAGGTAATATTCTTTACACTGACTGACTCCTAATTCTGCAGTTTACAGTCATTTTGCATTTTCTTCCATAACCCTGAGTCTTCAGAATTGGGAAAAAAGTTAATAAAACCTGGAAAGCCTTGAGGATCCTCAAGGGAACAGGAAAAGAAACTCTACCTTCAGATCTTCTTCTCCTAGAGCATGCAGGCAGAAGCACCTTCCCACTGGTGGGCTGCAGGTGTGAACTAATCTTTCCCTGCCCCAAAATGAAGGATGTTAAATGTCATAAACAAACAAGTAATTTATCATAATCTCATGGAATTCACCAGAAGTCCATTTCCAGGAGTTTTAATGAAAATCCATCACATCCTACTCGATGCTCAAAATCCCAGCAGATCATAGACTTCACTCAGCCAACAAGCTGGCCAAGAACTTGGGAGGATCACAAAATGTATTTTCTCTTCCTGTCTCCCCCACATTAAGCTGCCTGGAAAACCTTCAGGGCCTCTAGACTGCATCATTTGATAATTTCAGCAATCCAGCAGGTACAAAATACTTCCTTTCTCCCTAACTGCTTCCCTTTTCCTTCTCGACTTCCAGGGCCCCTCTGCAGCATCCTGGTGAAGCGGTTTGGCTGCAGGTTTGCGGTGATGCTGGGTGGGCTGCTCAGTGGGCTGGGAATGGTGTCCAGCTCCTTCTGCAAGTCCATCAGCCAGCTGTACCTCACAGCAGGCCTCATCACTGGTACGTACTAGAGAGCAGGGAATCTCAGCTGCTGTGCTGGAGATGGGAAACGGGAGAGCCCTGACTAAGTGGTCACATTTTTCCACTCATCTGTGAAATAGGAGAACTCAACAGCCTCCCAGCACAGCAGAAATCCAACAGCCACTAGACTTGGCCTCCACACCCTTTTAACACTCACCTCACCCACTCAAGCTCGCTGGGAAGTGCTTCTCTCTGGAAAAAGCTACAGGTCTCCAGAGGGTAAAATGGAGAAAAAGGATGTCTGTTCTTTTTAGTAGTTTCTCAGCCTTTTGTCTTTCAAGAAGGGAGGGTTTTTGTTGTTTTTCCAATCTTGGAACATAATGTGCTTGAATAATGTCCTTCTCAGGTTCCCTGAGCTTTTAATTCACCACTTCCAAACTGGGGGAGAATGGAGACATCTTTTTCTAACAAAAGACTCTGCTGGTTTTGAACAGAAATAACAGATGGGAACTTCTCCTTTCCAAATATTTCTCCTATGTAACTGATGTTCAACTCTTGCTTTTTAATAACACAGAGAAATTAATTCCTTACTCTGGAACCATTCCTGCTGGATCTTGCAAGTTAAGCAGTGGCCACTGCATAGAGAGAAAAACAAGCAACTCCCTGAGCCCTGATGAAAGCATCAGGACAGAAGCACTGCTCATTGCATGTAGTATAAAACCCAATCTTTTAGTGAACAATTCCATAGCAACTTTAGGAATTGCAGTGTGTCCCGGAAAAACAACTGTTTAGATCAGTATATTTACTATATCCAAGAAGACAAATAGTTCAATTTACACACAACATCCTTTTTCATCCCTGGTGTCAGGTTTCTGAGTATTAATCAATCCCTGGGTGCTGTGTGGCCTGGTGGGTCAGAAAATGCTTCAATGGCAGATGAAGTAATCTGTGGGTACACCCTGAATTTGGGTTCTTTTTACCCTTTAAGACAACAAAGAAGGATCATTTATTTTCATCTTTAGGTCTGGGATCATGTTTCAGCTTCCAGGCAGGAGTGACTGTGCTGGGCTACTACTTTGTCCGGTGGCGAACACTGGCCAATGCCATGGCCTCCACCGGTGTCTCCCTCGGTTTCACGCTGTGGCCGCTGTTGTCTCAATACTTGCTGGATGAGATGGGATGGAGAAACACCTTCCTCATCTTTGGAGGAATACTCCTGAACTGCTGTGTTTGTGGAGCCATCATGAGACCCATTCAGCTGGCATCAGGGTCACTTCCACAATCTGCCAAGCCCAAAGAGGAGCCAGGGAGCAGAGCAGAAGAGGTACAGCTGTCCAATGGAGCATCTCCTCACCACCCCACACTCCAGCAGCACACCAAAAGGACAAAATGCTTGCAGATGCTGCAGAAGTACCTGGCTTTTGACATCTTCTGTCAAAACAAAGGGTACCAGATTTACACTGTTGGAGTAACCTGGATGATGATGGGGTTTGCCTTACCCCATGTCTACCTTGTGCCTTATGCCATCCACCACGGGGTGGAGAAACGCAAGGCAGCCCTCCTCATCTCCATCATCGGGGTCATCAACATCTTCATCCGCCCTCTCACAGGGCTGCTCTCAGGACACAGAGTCTTCACAGGAAGACGCATCTACCTGTTCAGCCTGGCCGTGCTCCTCTGCGGGCTCAGCAATTTCATCTGTGTCCTTTCAGCTGAGTTCAGTGTGCTCATCCTCTACTGCATCATCCTCAGCGTAGCCATGAGTGGCGTTGGGGCACTCACCTTCCAGGTGCTGATGGATGTGGTAGAGATGGACAGGTTCTCCAGTGCTCTAGGGCTCTTCACCATCCTAGAGAGCATCACCCTCCTCATTGGGCCCCCGCTCACAGGTGAGAGAGGCTATGAAAGCTGGCTGGGGGAAAGGGGTTGGTTTGGAAACTGGTGACAAGTGTTTGTGAGCATCAAGAAGAGGAATTACGGAGTTTCCAGACCCATGGTGTAGGTGAGTTATGCAAAGGGAGCAGTGTAAGAGGTAGGGTTGGAAAGGAACCATCAGCTTCTTCTGATAGCTGGAAATTAATTTCTACAGCTGCATCAAAAGCACACTGAAAAAATAACTCACTTGGTAAGTGATCTGATACATATGGGAGCAATGACAGCTTTTTTCCAGTGGCAAGAAGCTGACGGGAATAACTATGAATTTTTTCACCTTTTTACTAGTTTGCATTGTTTTATCCATGAAGTCTCAAGAAATTGTGAACATCCCATTAAACAAATTATTTGTTTTCACAATTATTACCAGTCCTACATCATTCAAAAGCCCCATAGTAAAAGCTTCTGTTCGGTCTTCTTTCCAAGTTCTGGAGCATATTAATTTTTCTAAACTAAACAACCACTAGAATCCAGAGAAGAGGAGAGAACTTAACTCATCAGAGAATGCTTGTCTTTTGTATATGGCAGTTTGCTGAATGATTCATGTTTAATGGTCATGTAGATGAATGCCTTTAGTGTGCCTCTTCTCCTTGGCTAAGTTATGACTTCTATTTCAGGTCTCCTGGTAGACATAACGAGTGATTTCCACTACGTCTTCTACAACTCCAGCTTCTTCCTGATATCAGCTGCATTATTTATGGGGCTCAGCTTCTGTGCTCTGGAAAAAAAAAACAGATTGAGAGAGGTTTCCAAAGCACATTTGGACAATCCCTCCAGATACCAATACAATGAAACATCAACAGAACCAAAGGCCGAAAGTCAGTCCCCTCCAGCAGTTGAGTACATCACCAGTATATGAAAATAAAGAAGGGGGGAAAAGAGCAACACCATGAAGTGGTCTGTACAAAGCAACACATGGCCCAACACTGATGGCAGATCAGAAAAAAACGGTCTGCTTTCCACTACTGTCACCTTCCTTTTGCACTTGCACTCTATAGGGCCTTGTCAGACTCCAAGGCAGTGATCCAGACCACAGGCCCAGCCCAGAACCCAGCACCGGCCAAGGAGATGAAGCACAAAGAGATCTGAGCTCTCCTAAAGCAAACCATGGGGTAACAGCCACGGGACCCAGCACCAGGAGGCAAAAGCTGGGGCAGTTTCATTGGGTTAAGTCACCACCTTTAAGAAGTCACTGGAATTTCACAAGCACTTCCAGTTGGTAGTGCTGGATAACACATATTAATGGGTAGTTCTTCACAAAGAAATATTGTTGCCTCATCTGAATATACAATTTCGGTGCACAGGCTTCCTGTTTGCTTCCCATGTTGGGGTTGGGAAGACAAACACTTTCCACAGTGAAGTGTGGGAGGTGTGTTATTATTTTCCACATCTCTAAATATTATACAAAAGCAGCTGCATGGGTTGTAGAACTCAGACAAATCTCTAGTAAGATCAACTGTTTTCTCCTATGAAGCATACACAGGAGTTCTTCATGCCAAGGGCAGTTTCAAAGCCTCAAAAGTCAACTCCAGAGCCTCAAAAAAAAAACCCAAAACAACCCACCATGCCTTGGAGTGCCTATTTTGTATAACTACTGATATCTCAAGTGCAGTTTAATATATCATAAAAGAGGATTCATGGCTCATGATAAATAAAAAATAAACACTTCAGCATCAACTGGAACCCATTTGGGGCAGGGAGGGTAATATCAGACATGCATCCTTTTATAGGGCAAAATACAAAGCAACTGTAGTTCCTCTTTGTGGAGATCAGTTCAGCTCTTTAGTCTTAGACTTTCGAACCTAATTACACCAGCATTCTCATTATAGAGAACTTTGAACAAACATAACTTATATTTCTTATAAGCAGAAGCAGAACTTACAAAGAAATCTGTGGGGGAAGCATAGTGAAAAAAGCCAGTGTTGCTGACTTTCTATCCATACAGCCTTGACTGTAAGTGGCTTTCTCTGCCACATTCCCAGGATTTAGGCTTGTCTCTGCTCAGACAATGGCTGCAGCAGCCTCAGCATCAGCTCAAGATGCAAACTGTTCATATTCTGTGTCATCCCTGATCCAACAGACATGGATAACCGCTCATGAAGCACGTGGCTAAAGATAACCCAATACAGCAGAACAATCAAAAAGATGGAAGCACAAAATGGGAGTGAAATGGAAGGAGTAACAGCTTTCAGTGGAATTGCAGTGCCTAAGAACTGTTATAACTCAGCTGCAGTGCTGATCTGGAGAACTGTCCTATCACATTCCTAGTGACAAACCCACAGCTCTCATTAGAGCTCCCCAGACCAAACAAACAAACCAATTAGAAAAACCCCACTTTTCATGAAACCATTGAAAACTGACTCCAAGTTCTTCAGAGACTACAATGGCTTAACAGGTGGATTTTACACAAAAGGGGCGTCAGCCCTTCAGACAAGCTCCTGCTCCTACAGCTCAATACTGTCCTGGGATTACAGACCCAGGAAGATTTGCATTTCCTGATCAAACCTATGCTTAAATAAGATGGTTAGGGGGAGACATACATATCTGATCTCTCATCACATGTGTTTATTAACTTATGTAATGCTTACACGGTCCATAACTATGAGGTAAACAGGGACTGGTGCTTCTCAGCTTACCAAAAGAGACTTCTGTACATTCCTAGGAAAATGAAGGGGCTTTCTCACAAAAAAGCAATAAAAAGGGATTAAGTCCCAAATTTCTTCTAGCTATTGCAAATAAACAGCTAAGCAGCTGAACAGGTTTCCATTTTCTCTGTGTGTAATTCTTAAATTTTAAATTCTGTTCACCTTTCTACACTCCCTTTCTGTTTTCTTACAGAAATATGAGGTTATGTGGCCCCAGATCCTCCCACTGCTACAAATGTCCTGGACAAAACAAGCAAGATATGGTGTAAGCTACAATCCACCAAAATTTGTGACAGGAAACAAAGGTTAGGTGAAGGAGCAATGGAAGGCACCTCCTGCATGGAGCCAGTTGATCTACCTGTAATGCTTTTGCCTTGGCTGCTTCATAAAAAAGGAAATGTACAGGGCAAAACCAAAAATCTTCACCATTGAGGCTGACACAGAGATCAGCTCCTCCTACACCAAGGCAAAAATACCTGTTTTGATAATTTCTTTATTGTGCAAGATAATTTAGGATGGAAGGCAAAGAGAGTGCTTTTCAGAAGTGCGTTTTGATACTCCCAGACTTATCTCTGGGGTCACTGGGACTTATTCGCAGGTGCAGAGAGAGGTTTCTGGGAAGAAAACAACCAATTCACAAACCTGTTATTTTAACATTTCTCAAGTTGCTGACTGAAACCTTTCTAATAGAACTTAAGCCTGAAAACAGGTTTGTCTCCCCTGGTTACTTGCCACAGAGCCTTTAAAAGTAATCCACAACCCACAGGTTTGAAGCAAATCCTCAGCAGACAAGAAGTAACATTTTATGCTGTGTTTCCACAGGGGAATATGATGTCTTAGTTCCCATAACAGAGAAAACCCCCCTCCTCTCCTTTGTGTGTTTCCCACCTGGACTCCAAGCTGCCTTGAGCAGGAGCTTGGTAAAGGATAACAGGAGAGACCTGAGCATGCTACAGAATAAGAAATATTCCCCCTCAGAGGGATCCTACAGGTGCAGCAATACTCAGTCCCTAGGAATCTTTGGGACCAGAAGGAAAAGAAAGTGATAAAAGTTCCCCTCATTAGTTTAAGGTCAGCCTTTTACACAAGGCAACAGCAGCCTCACTGAAGCAGTTCCTTTAACACCTGCAGACAGTAAAACAACCCTGTCTGGCTTTAATTTGGGACAAACACTAATAACTCAGCCAGGTTACAAATCTCTGAGAAATAGCAAAGCCACAAAAAGTGAGCCATGCCCTCTCTTGCCCCTCCCCTGCCCCCTTTATCATTGAAGATATTCTTACTATTGCAAGATAAACATTTTGGCTAGAAGTACATTTCATCACGGAAATGAAACACTCACACTGGGAAATTCACACTAACATATTGCAAGATCATGATTCTTAAAAGCCGAAGATTCTTTGTCAGGGTAATACTTGAGAAAGTTTAATATTAATTATTTACATTTAATAGCAATAAACCCCAAATAAAGGTTATGGCAATCTTACACACTCTAAGACACCTCTGAAGTGCAAAATCACTTCATTTAAGAGCTTGTCTTGCTGCTTGCAGACATAGCTAATAGATATAAGAAAAGAAACAACTACTAAAAATTAAAATTTCCTGAATTCTGGCTCCGGTGTGCTATGGAAGTCACCAGAACAGCCCCTGGAGCTGTGACTACCCTGGCTAGACCAGCCCCTGCTCTGGGAACTGCTCTGGCAAACAGCCAATGCTTGGAGCACTCAGACCATTAAACTGTACAGCCAATATTGGGTGGGTAAATGCAGATCTTACAAACAGAAGTAATTGCATTTTTCCTTTTTAAACACAGTTCCCCCCCATTAGTCAATCCCAGCAGCGCTCTGTTTGTATGGACTAGCTCCCTGTGTTTGCTTTCTCTGCTCCTGCTTCCCTACATTTCTCATTCACCTTCTGTTTAATGATAGATGAGGATTTAAAGTATAGCAGCACTTACCACTTATAAAGGCACACATTAGAAGAGATTTCTTACTCCATTAGCAAAACATTCTAATATAGACACAGTTTGTAGCACCTTTGCTGATCATTTTCAAATATATTCAAATATGCAGAAAAAACCACATGTATATATTTAGACATATACATAAATACACACTGACTTCAGCTGAAAATCATGCTGAAGTTGTTAGCATTTAGCCTGGCTTAAACTTTTATACCATGTAGAAACAAATGTTTTGTGTTTCATGTTTTGTATCTTCCTACACCATTACAATGTTAAAATATTTAGCGTTACTGCATTCAGTGAAGCTTCTTTGCTCATCCTTCTATTTAATGTAATCATGGGCAGATATTTCAGTGCCCTCAGCTGTGTGGGTTATCAGCCCACCACCCTTGTCACTGGTGCCATGTGGATCAGTCCATAACTAATTAGCTTGATATGAAAATCAATTGTATTTGAGATAACATAAAAGACAAATTCTCACAGCCTGTTCCTTGCCTTATCCACAGAAGAACAGCCATGCATGTAATTGCTTCAATAAAACCAGTACAAATTTCTGCAGAGTCCACTCCTACAGTTTATGATCTTTATTAACCTTTACCTTGTATATTTACACAACATGAACCATAATTGAACCCTCTTGCAGCACGTAAAATTGTGGTGGTTTCACCGAGCTGTGTTACTTCAAAACAAGGGAATCGCTTTGCTCTGTGCCCAAACCACTGTACAACCAAGACAGAATCACCTGCTGCTCTTTAATTCACTCCCTGGCTTTGTTTCATTTTTTTCACAGATAATTTCCCTCACTGTGCACATATTGTGCCCTGTTTTTACTTTTTCTCCCTCAGCTTCATGGATGACAATCCCGTTATTTAAACTGGAACTGATCCAGGAGCAACACTACCCCAAGGACAACGCATTAGGATGGAATAGCACAACAAACACAGAGGTGAATATTCTTTGAGTAAGAAATCAGTGGGAAAAGGTTAGCTGCTTTGCAAAACCACGCGTTTAAACAGCAACGCTCTGCCATATAATGAGACAGCCAAATACCTCGACATAGGCTCATTTGTTTTTATATAAAATATATAATTATATATAATGCATTTAGAGAGAGAGCCAGATGCGGAACAGTCACCACATCTCCCCCTGAGGCGCGAACCTCCCCCCCGCCCACAAAATGGCGGCGGGCTGAGGGGAGCTGGCACCGCCCTGTCCCGCCCACAAAATGGCGGCGGGCTGAGGGGAGCTGGCACCGCCCTGTCCCGCCCACAAAATGGCGGCGGGCTGAGGGGAGCTGGCACCGCCCTGTCCCGCCCACAAAATGGCGGCGGGCTGAGGGGAGCTGGCACCGCCCTGTCCCGCCCACACAATGGCGGCGGGCGGGCTGCTCTGGCCGCGCTGAGGCGGGCGTTTCATCTCCATTCCTCGGAACACCCAGTCCGGGGCAACGGGCAGCCCGTGCGGTGTCTCCCGATGGAACTGGGTCGGCTGGAGTACCTGCAGGCGCTCGTCACCGAGTTCCAAGTGACGGACAGCACAGGTAACAAACGCCGCTGCTTGCTCGCCCTCTCCGTGCCGACCGTTTCCTCACGCACCGACGCTTTTCCCTTGCAGAGGCCAAGGAGCAGGTGCTGGCGAACCTGGCCAACTTCGCCTACGACCCCAGCAACTACGAGTATCTCCGGCAGCTCCAGGTGCTGGACCTGTTCCTCGATATGCTTACGGAGGACAACGAGAGCCTCGTGGAGTTTGCCATGGGTAAGGGCTGCCCCAGCACCCTCAGCTGTCACCCGGGCGGGGGACACGGGCCCCGCGCTCGGTCTGGTCCTTAACCCGCCCCAAAGTCACCCAGGGCTCCAAAAACAAACCCACACTGTGCTGATAAAGCCTCGTTTAGTGCACAATGGGAGAGAAGTCAGAGGCAGGC